AATAAAATCATACAATTAAATTAAATTTAAAAAGTAAAAATTTGAAAAATTAATATAATGAAATTGATATAAGAGAAATAATATAAAAAAAAATGTCAAAAACCTTGGGTGACAAAATATTTCGTCGAGCAAACTATTAAACTAGTTTATTTTAATTAAAAATTTTAAAAAAACAAAAATTTAAAAAAATTGAATATTTCGTCGCGCAAAGATTTGCGCGACATTAGGATTCGTCGCGCAACGATTTGCGCGACATTCACTTTCGTCGCTCAAAATAATATTATTCGTCGCGCAAATTAATATTCGTCGCACAAAGTTGATAGTATTCGTCGCGCAAAGTAGTTATAATTCGTTGCGCAAAATAATATTATTCGTCGCGCAAAGTGTTCGTCGCGCAAAGTATCTTTGCGAGACAAAAAAAAAAATTCGTCGCGCAAAACCTTTCTTTACGATCTTTGCGCGACCAAAATTTCGTCGCGCAAAACCTTTCTTTACGATCTTTGCGCGACCAAAATTTCGTCGCGCAAAGTTTGCGCGACGAAATTGTACTTTGAGCAACAAAATTATTTCGTCGCGCAAAGTGTTTTTTGTAGTAGTGAAAAGAAGAGGATGCGCGCTGGAGAAGCAGATTGTGGCTCTTTGGGGACTTTCATCAAACACTTTGCACGGGTCAATTTTCTCATCTTCCATGGCAGATTTCAGAGGTTGCAGGGGTCACTTGACCATCCTTGCTCCTCTGTAGATCCGCCCCTGCCCACAGCAGCAATAACACTGCGAACAAGAGAGTTGAAGCTAATTATATATAAAAGCTGAAAGATGAAAGATTATAACAATGTTGTAAGGAATAAGCAAAAGGCCAAATGGGAACTTAATTGGTGGAAAATAATCGTATTTACAATTAATTAACACAACAAGTCACGCATGTGAATATTTCTAAAATAAAAAATAATATGACATGTCATTGGATTTGGATGTAGCAAAAATCAAATTGAATCCTACACAAATATAAAAATCAAACCATTGGAATTCAAATTGTATAATGATTTTAGTGAATCAAGATTTATCTTATCTTTTTTCCAGGAATCAGGATTTATCTTATCAGAAAAACAATAAAATGATACTAATTCAGATACGGTTAGGGTTCCTTCTTTCTTTTGGATTATTTCTCTGTTTTCCTATAAATGCCAAGCCAACAAACCCTAGAGCATAGCATCTCTTGGTTTCTTTTCTGCCTCTTAGCTAGAGTACAATATTCAGGTCTTTCGATGGCCAGAGAAAGTCGCCCAAGGAAATTGGTAAAATCAAGATATGTATATATAAACGCGGAGCTCCCAACTGAAATCATATTCTGTCATATACTCCCACGGCTACCACCAGAGGCTCTGATGCGGTGCAAGTACGTATGCAAGTCTTGGTACTCCCTCATCCGCAGCCCTTCCTTTGTCACCGACTTCAACGACAGAAACAAGAGCAACACTAACTTCCTTTTCCAGAAGAATACCCGTTTGTTCTCTTCAAAGATAGAGGAGCAACAAGGAGAGAATAATATTCTAATTCCAACACCCATCGCCCAACTTCCACTCCCGACTCGGAGCAAATTTCTCAAACGTCATCCTGATCTTGTGGAGTATATTCTAAATCCAGCACCTGTCGCCGAACTTTCGTACCTGAGTCGATGTGAAGCTTTTGAATGTCATCCGAATCATGTGCAGAGTGTCCATGGCTTGGTTTGTGCATCCTCTAGGTGTGGCCCTGTCTTCATACTTAACCCTAGCACTCAAGAGTCCATCGAACTTCCATATATAATTGAAAATTACCGCTTGGCATCCGCTACATATAACTTCGGCTTCAGTCCACTGACCAACGAGTATAAGGTTCTCCAGATCTTGTCATTTCGTCCCAATAGTAGAAGTGATTTTCGGTTCAACGTATTCACCCTAGGTAGGGATTCTTCATGGAGGCCATTGCAGGTAGACCCTGCCGACCTTCCTTTTGATGCTCGAGATCACGACTATGAGATACAAAATGGGAGAAGTACTGGATGTGTGTGCCTGAATGGGGCCATACACTGGATCCATGAGACACAGAAAGTGATAGTGGTATTTGACGTTAAAGAGGAGACCTTCAGAGTGGTGCCACTACCTGACGAATATGCGCAAGAGTTTCATCTAGATAATCATGGCCACAATAGGGTTGCTTGCCATGCAAGTGTTGTTGAGGTGCAAGGATGTGTGGGTGTGTTTGCTGACAAGTCGTTGAGACAGGACAAGATAGTGTTATGGATTTTGAAGGACTACCAGAACCTTGTGTGGGTGAAGGAGACTATTACCGCCGTGATGCCGATTGGAGAAGGGTATGTTAAAGCTTTAGGTACAATCCATACAGGTGAGCTAGCACTCGCTCTCCATTTTTATGGAAATACACCAAAATTTGACGACCGTCCACCAAAATTGCTTCTTTATGATATGGAGAGCAAACAATATAGAATACTTGATTTCGTTTTTCCTAATAATATGGGACTTGCTCGGGGAATACCTGTTAAGTTAATTGCTAGTTATGATGATAGCATTGTCCCCTTAAAATGAGATGAATGATGGCCGGCCTTGATTATAGTATATCACCGTTTCCATGGAAGTCTCTATTGCTCAATTCTGTAATTCATCTTTGCAAGTGTGCTTGTTACAATATACAAATCTGTAATTCGTCTTTATAGATTTCAAATTCCAATTTGAATTATGTTGTTTAGCAGACTATGTTGTTTTTGTCTTCATTAGCAGACTATGATCAATTTGGCAACAGAATGAAATACATTATACATACGTGCTTGCTCAGTATCCCAACAACCTTGGACAAGTGAGCATGCTCTCTCACTCACTCCTGCCGGGCTGTGCTTAACAATTTGTTAAGGATTTATAATGGAATAATAAAATACAATAAAATTTTCTTTTTGTTTAAGGCATTTGTAACAATTCATTCATCCATTATTTCTTTTATTCTTTTTTGGGTCTTATTTGTTTATTCATTTTGGTATTTGATTTTTTTTTGTTTAAAAAAATAATAACATAACTCTCTGACGTGCTAAAGTTGACAATTTGTTAATAATGAAATAATGAAATAATAAATTGAAAAAATAAAAAAATAAAAAAATTTGCTATGCATGTCGGTCCTATGCCACTATTTCACCAAATTCTTCTAGAAACATTTAGCAGCTAGAGAAAGGATCCAAAACCTAAAAAAATGAAGAAAAAGATAAAAGAAAACAAAGGTATATCTCTGGCCGTCCACGTGGGTGTATCCTGTGGAATGTGAGGTATCCGGAGCATTTTGTAGGGTCGTCGACTGTTCATTCTGTAAAAGGAAAGAAAAAAGAAAAAAGAAAAGAAGACTGAAAACGAAAAGCGAAAGAAGGAAAGGGGGCGCTTCTTCTTACGGCGGCCGCTAATTTGGAAGCACGATCAGGTGACGGCTTGCTTTACTCTTGCTCATGTTAAAAATATAGATCGAATATTAACATTCGTGCTCTGCTTTTGGTGACAGCTTTACTCTGTTCTTTATCATTTAATAATTTAATGTTAAATCTTTCTAGATGGAATATTATTATTTTATTTATGCATTACGATCAGGCGACAGCTTGTTTTGTTCTTTATCTAAATCTAGATAGTATAAATATTCTTGTATTTATATGCATTTAAATCAGTGAAGAAGATAAGATTTTTTTTTTTTTTTTTTGGGGTCGAATGAAGAAGAGAAGATGCTGCATTTAATGTATAGAAATAATAATAATAAATATTCTTTGTTCTTGGGCATTTTTTGGTTGATGACATTTGTTTTGTATTTGTTCTTGGGCTTTGCCCTCTTTTTATTTAATTCTTGTTAATTGTTAAAACAAAGTGTGAAATAATATTTAAATGCATGCAGTATGCACTAGAAAAGAGAAGAGTGGTTCCCTTCCCCTTCCCCTTCCCCTTCCCCTCTCCCTCCATCAATATATCTCAAGGTCAATGGAACCTTAGGACAATCTTCTTTCTACTTCTTCTTGCCATCATCCTGTTCCTGTGGATATAGGGGGTTTGGTATGTGACGACTGACCTCCATAGCCGGATTGCCTGCTACGGTAATGGCAATAATTTTGCACAGACAAAACAATCTCGAATGGCTTTGATTTGAGGAAGCATCTTTTAGGGGCTGGGGCAAATACTACACACATAAACACATAGCTGCTGTGATATCAACATAAATCCCTTCTTTCCTTTTTCCAATGCGAAACAAAATACTATTAACAGTCAATAAGGTACAACAATCACAAACAGAGTTTACACAAAAGAAATAGTAATAGATAGAGGAGATCCAATGGCTACCCCTAAAGCTAATCCTAGTCATAAAACCAACTATAACACTAGCAATGTGACCTGAAAATCCTAATCTCTAACTTGTTCTATTTAGTTTTTATTCTAGTTACTTAATAATGAGTGCTGTTATTTAGTTTTGATTCCAGTAACTTGTTCTATTTAGTTTTGATTTTAGAGGAGGTAAGATATTAAATGCTGTTATTTACCTGGCTTTTGTTCACCAATATTTGTTGTATTTGGTAGCAAAGGAGATATCCCATCTCCCAGAGAGTTATTTATCCAACTTTTGTTTTCCAGCATCTCCATTTCACTTTATTTATTGGTGTTCCTCTTTCAGGAAATTATCAGAATTCTGCTTATCATGCGGGGCCAAGATAGGATTAGCCAGTTGCCTAGTGACCTTCTTCCTCGTATCCTTTCCTTCCTGCCAATCAAGGATGCAGTAGCTACTAGCATCCTTTCCACAAAATGGCACAACATATGGACCATAGTCCCTGTCATTGATGCAGATCAAAACTCAATACAAGTCGACGAAGATCGATTCTACACCATTGTCAACTCAATTCTGCGCCACCCGATGGCTGCGCCTTTTCCACTTCACAAGTTCATCCTCAAGTGCGACCGATGCACCAGTCATGCTGCAATCAACAATCTGATTCAGGCAGCTCTTGACCGCCAAGTGAAGGAGCTGGACCTTTGCATTGCTCCACATAACATAGTGCACAAATTCCCGCTGCCTGTGGAAGTATATAGAAACCAGCATCTCAAGGTTTTGAAATTCAGCAAAGTGAGGGTTCATGACAATGAGCCACCAGGTTCTTTCCCACCAGGTTCTTTCCCATCTTTGAAGAATTTGCAAGTGGACATCTCGTATGCTTGTGACAAATCCTTGCAAAAATTCTACCACCACTGTCCTGTTCTTGAGGAGTTGAGAATGGAAGGAGAAAAGAACCCATTTCGTAAAGTCAATTGTCAGTTTGATGTCAGTTCAGAAAGTCTCAAAGCACTATACATCAAGCTGCAGTCTAATTATGATGTTCAGTATGATGATGATGAGGAGGAGGCGGAAGAGATATATACTTTTAAAATTAAGGCAAAGAATTTGGAGAGCCTTTTCATTGACGAAGACATATTGGCAGATTACGAAATGGAAGAATTGATATCCCTGGTTGAAGGCAATATTCAAATTGGGTGGAAAGATCACCAGTACAGCATGGGTGATAGAACATTCTTTAACAAAGCTTTCAAGATAATCAGGGGATTGACCCATGCTAGGACCCTAACCCTGGGTGAGAGGACCACTGGGGTAAGACTGATTTCATTTTGGTAAACTATTTGGGATTTACGAAAAAGGTTCTAATCACTTGCTTTTACTTTTATTTTTTTCACTTAGGCACTTGGATATGCTGTACATTTGAATTGTGTACCTGATAGTGATGAGGATGATGATGAAGATATGTTCCTGTGGGATGTAGATGTGCACATTTGGGACGAGGAGCAGGTTTTGAAACTCTGTAGGGAGAAAATTCCAGAGTTCCATCATTTGAAAATTTTGAATCTTTCAATAGGTAATCGTTATGGATGGAATTTTCTGCCATATTTACTTAGGTTCTTTCCTAAGTTGGAGATGCTCCGTTTGGAAATGGTGAGTATATCAATTTGTTCTTACTTTATTTGTATAAAAGGAGCGCAACATATTCTAAATCTTTATTTTTCTTTTCTGTAATTTATTGGATTGGCAGGTTTCTGTATATGGTGTGGATCCAAACAAAAGATTTGCGTGGCATCCACCCCTAGAGGAACCAACATGTTTGATGGAGACCATCATTAGGGTCGAGGTAAAAGGATTTCGCCATGAGGACGGAGAGGGGTGGCCATTGATAAACTATCTGCAGGAAATTTCTACAGAGATTCGAGAGTTCCAAATCCTAATAGAGTGATTTAGTAAATTATCTGATTGACTCTTGAGAAATAGATATACAAATTCCAATCCTAAAAGACATATAGAAATACGATTACCCCTTACCAGCAAAGGTTCGGGTCGGCAGAAAGAGAGAGGCCAAGGCAACGCAGCTTCCATTTTCCATCTTCCCATCTTTCTATCTTTCATCTTTCATCTTCAATATTCCATCCCTCCATCTTCCATCTTCCATCTTCCATCTTCCATCTTTAGGGTTTATGGGTAGAGAGCTCGCCTCCTCAATCCTCAATCCTCAATCCTCAATAGATAGACAGAGACTCAGATGAGATCTATTCTGGAGTTTCGGGGTGTTTGGTTTGACTTGGGTTTCGTTGGCTTCAGAATCTCAGATAGATCAGATCAGATCAGATCAGATGCTTTGAGTTTTGTCCTGTTGTGTCGTTTTTTTTAATTTAATTTTGTTTTGTTTTTCCCTATTTTGTTATTGACTTTGGTGACACTGATATCTTTGCTATTTATTTATGTTTTTCCTTATTTTTGAAATTGCGGCTGTGAGAGAGTTTTATTCATTCTTGTAAGTCAACTAATAGGGTTTTGTTTTAAGTAATTTTTTTATTGATGCCCAATGGAATGGAACTGTCAAATGGCTGCCCGATGTGGCCCATTTGAAGTTACAAATATATATATATCTCTCTCTCTCTCTCTCCCGATTTTAGGCATGCAGTAGGATTGAGTAGCTAAAACCCACGGCATTTTTTGAAGATTTGTGACAAATGCAAAATACATCACATAACCACCTCAAGTAGGTGGTCGATATGATTCAGTTTGTATAATATAATCCATCAAGCTGCTGCTGCTATCAGAAGGAATCACAATTTGTATGTGCCAGTACCTAAACACTCGATAATCTTCTCCTTCAAAAAAGAAAAACAAAACAACAAAGCCAAGCATAACAACAACGAATTCTTTACTACTTGGTCCGCAAGACAAACTAGTTACCACATGACTTTGCAGAATATATAATCAAGACAGTTTTCAGCATACTTTAAATAAACCACCAGAGAACAGCGCCAAAGAGAAGTCCCATCTCTGGTTGATCAGCCGAAGCTTTAAGAAATCTTTTCCGGTGTCTTGTACTCTGTACTCAGTAGCCGAGTAATTTGCACACTGAAACTGGAAAAGGAAACACTTTCATGTCACTCACTTCTGTTCTGTAGCTCCTTTTTTAACACTGGGAAGAAACAATGTACAACCTTGATAGGTGATTCCCATTTTCCGCAACCAGTGCTCTGCCTTTGCAATTCTAACATTTTCAGCAAATGTTGTCGCTGATTAGGTGGATGACAGGCTTAACTCCTTTTTTATGTGCTCTGAACAACATCATATGGCTAGGCATTCCAAATCCCCTGTTTTGATTGGGTTTTTCCCATTACAAAAAAAAAAGTAATTAGAATTTTGAAAGGATTTTTGTTTTTTTGGCACATCTTTTGAAAGGAAATTGAATATTGCACTGAAAGGGATAATAAATCATTTGTCATGTAAGGAGCCAAGCAGAGCCGGTCCATTGATTTTGGGGGCCCTGTGCAAATATGGATGTCGAGGCCCTACATATATACAAGTAGGAAAAAAAAATCCATATAGAAACAAAATTTTCTGACACGGGAGGAACACCTTCGGAAAGAGCTTCCCAGAATTTTTTTTTTAGTCACTCTTCCAAATCACAGAGCTAATAAATTGATTTCCAATTTCAATGCTCGGTGAATTCTCATGTGAATGAGGGAGGGAGAAAAGAACTGTGATTTTGGGGAAAGGGCTAAAGCTTGGGTTTTTACAATCCAAAATTTGATGGAAGAGGGTGGTACACTGGTACTGAAGAGAAAGGGATGATTTATTTTGACGGAGGAGAGAGAGAGACTCACTAAAAGAGAAAAGAATATTATAATGGTTTTGCAGCGCAAGAGTTGGGAAGAGGAAAACACAGGTTTCAAACCATAATAAATAAATAAAAAGAAGAGTTGCAGCGTGAGAGTTGGGAAGAGGAAAACGAATTAAATTAGGGTCTCTACTCTCTAAGTTGTGGAGGTTGTTGATAATTAATATTCAATTCAATTTTGGTTTTGGTTTTGGGGCCTTGCATGTGGCGTTGTGGGGTGATATTTAATATTTTATTTTTATTTTCATGTTTTAATTAATTGAATGCGTTGACTCGGAAAAATTTGGGGCCCTTAAATTTTGGGGGCCCTGTGCGGTCGCACACCTCGCACACCCCATGGGCCGCCTCTGGAGCCAAGCATGGTCATGTACACAACATCCAATGAACCTCTACATTCCCAGCACCCAAAGTAGTTCCAATGAAACAGAACACGATGGTGAACTGAAAGCCATGCCAATTGATAATGGTGCTTCTCCTTATTGGTGCAAATATTCTGCAGAAGAAATAAAAAGACAGTTAAATTTTAAGTTTTCAAAATGTCTTGGTTGCAAACTCATTGGTCATGGAGTAAGTTTACAAAACATGTCATGGAGTATATTTATGCCTCAGTAATTAGCACACTAATGGAATTTACATGGCACAGCTATACAATGCATAAAACTTGTGGTTTACCTGGAAAATGGGACACGTCCTTTCATAACTGTGCACATAACCATATACTGCAATATCAACCTTGTACTTCTGCCATAGTTTCTTAAGGCTCTCCCTCCCCATTGGCTCCTCAAATGAACCTTCAGCCACATTAAAGCTCGCAGAAGAATAACCGAGTACCTGATGTGCCAGAAATATCAGCCATGGTTGTTTGTCTATCAACTGATGCTAGGCAGTTCTTAATGAACTTGAAGTTAGATAATGTCAACTCTCTCTCTCTCTCTCTCTCTCTCCATCCAGAGATTTCTAAGACAAGAGTACTTCATTCAAACTAAATTAGAAAAACCCAAGATAACCTGGAACTAATCATAATGACATCAATCAATTTCGTGGTACAGACTACGGTGGCCGAAGGTAAATTAAAGAGGGGCAAGGTCAATATAAAGTATGTCATTCGAAATCATCAATTCAAACACACCACAACCTGATCTCATATATCAGTAAATTAAAGAGCACATTCGGCTCTCTTCATGGCTCTACTGCTCTATTTCTTCTTCTATCTCTTGTGGCCATTTTCTCCCCGTATCTCTGAAAAATATCCGCCAAATCAACCAACCCGACCTCCCTCAGTTTTTTCCCCACCTCCTCAAACATCCCCACCCCTTCCTCATTTGAGTAGTAATGCAAAAACTTATTATAATCAAATCTAGGCACCTCAAGTCCTCTTTTGACCACTCTCTCCACATACTTGGTGGCTTCTAGTGACTTCCCTGCCTTAACCAGACCACCAACAAAAATGGTATCAAAATTCACAAGAGGATCCGATCCCTTCCTTCCTCTCTTTCCCAAATGTCCTTGCAATAGCATGATATAAGTGTGCATGTTAGGCTCACACCCCTTTTTAATCATCTCCCTAAACACTTCTGTTGCTTCACGCAATTTTCTTAACCTTAAAAGGCCCTTGATCATCCCATGGAACACGTTAATATCCGGTTTTTCAATCCCTTCCACAATCTTATATGCCACTCGAACTCTACCTCTTGCTAAAAGGCCATAAACCAGTGAAGCCAATGTGGAATTATCTGCTTCGATCCTTCTCTTTTGCATTTCCTCGAACACCACATGAGCTTCCTCAATCTTTCCCCTTTTACACATCCACTCAATCACAAGCCCATAAGTTGAAAGACCCAAATCATCCATCCTATTCACCCTCATCATCTGAAAAACCTTCAATGCCTCACCGTATCGATTCGTCTTGAAAAGGGTCTCCATCATTTTCTCAATGGCATCAATATCCGGGTCAAACCCTTCATCCACCATCAAATTCCAAATCTTCGAAGCCTCAATCAAATCACCCACATCACAAAACCCTTCAATCAAACACCTGTACGTAACCCCATTAGGCCCAATCGACTCCTTCAACTTAAAAACTATGAATTTGGCCTCAACAACAAGCTTAGACCCACAAAGACTCTCAACCACCTTATTCAAAGTCTCCAAACTATAATCAAACCCATACCCATTCATGACATGAAAAAATTCAACACACTTGTTCAACTCCCTGGCCTTGGCCAAGGTCTTTAAAGCAGTAAGAAAAGTCTTATCATTCACCAAACGGCGTCGTCCCATTTCATGGAGCATGTCCCAGAGGAGCTGGATGTTCCTGGCCTTGCCGATGACGTCAACCATTTTGTTGAACGAGACGGTGGTGTGAGTGAAATTTGGGTGGGTTTGGGTGTAGAAGAAGAAGAGATAGACGGGCCGCCATGAAAGAGGGAAACTGTTGCAGACCTGGAGGAAGAACTCATGGGTGAGTTGGAAGTTGGACGAGTTGAGGTTTGAGTGGAGACGTGACTCGGGCGAGTTCTGTTGCTGGTAGAGGATGGTGCAGACTCGGAGGAGGTGGGCTGGGTTCACTGGGGATGGGGATGGGGATGGGGATGGGGTGGCGAGTTGCGTCTGAGTTGATTCGGTTGTTATGAAGCGGAAGAGGTTTATGAGGGGTTTTGTGAGGCTGCTACTTCTTTGTCTCATCATCTCTACGATTTTGGCTCTATTTTCGACCAGGTTTTGCCGCGTCTGGCTATTTTACTTTTTGACAACCAAAAAAAACTGTACGACTTGGAACCTGACTCGGTCGGCCCAACTCAGTAGAGTTGCTGCTGATTGTCAACTAGTTGGGTTGGGTCAATCTGAACGAGCCTCTGACGAGTTGAGCCATGGTTATTGGCAGCAGGCCCATGAGTTGACTACTTGTTAAATAAAATTATAAATAAAAGCTTTTGTATTAAACCATAACATACTCATACTGCAAAATAAATTCTTTGGTGCATCTACAGCACCGCTACATGGTGTTAACAATTTAAATCTTATAATATAAATTAGTCTTTTTGCACGCGCTTTCGCTCTTACAAGAGGTTTTTTATAAAAATATTTAAATTTATTTTAAAATTAAAAAAGATAATGGATAGTTGTGTTCCATAAAAATAAGATTCATTATCTGATTTTTCTTTTAATTTTATTTTTTTTAATATGAAAAAGTGTGAATTTACCATATTATCCTCATTTAATTAATAATTTCAATTCTTAATGTTTACATTAATCAAGATACTTTGAATGTTTCACTATTCTCTGCATTTTACTATATATATATAAAATAGATAGCATAATTTTAAATATCTCGCGTTATTTAAATTTGCAAGTTATGTACTTAAATTTGATATATTTACTTTTTTTGTGGTCTTTCAAATCATGCACCAACGTCACAGGTCTAACTTATGTGACATTCTTTGTGATGATATAGCACCCAATTTGGGATCATGAAATTTTATCATTTTTAAACGTCATTGAGAATATAGCAATGCCACACACCAATATATTCGAGGAGACATATAATTGTCCTAATAATAAAGGGCATGAAATCTTTTATAAAATTTTGAAAATTTAGAAATTTATAGCCGAATTATTTTGGAAACATGATAGACTGAAATACCCAGAAAGCCCCTCCGACAGAAGAGCGAGTATTCAAAGGCCCTACTCACACAAAATCACAAATTGCGCGCCTCCTAGTTCCTCTTTCAAACAACCTAACGGACGGTCCAGATCTGGTCATCGGCACTCCACAAGTTGCTCGATCTTTAACAGCGCGTCCTTTCCTTATTTAAACCCGCCCTCCCCAATTTCCTCGCATCCCAACCCCTATTTTAGTTTTACCCATTCGTCGTCTTCTTCCTCCCGAAAATAGAAAAAAAAAAAACCCAAAACCAGAGAGCTCTGCGCCACCACCACTGCCACTTTTCCATCTCTCATTTTCGGTTGATTATCTCTATCTGAAACGAAACGATGTCGTCGCCCGAGAAGGAGAGAGAGACCCAGGTTTACATGGCCAAGCTCGCCGAGCAGGCCGAGCGTTACGAAGGTCACATTCTGATATATCTTTTCTCTTTTGTTGATCGATCTTTGAGTTATATATATGAAAAATGTTGTTATTTGTCAAAGCTGGCATTGATCGGATTGTGAGTGTTTCAGCATTGCATCGGATCTTACAGTATTATTATGAATTTACGAACACTTTTGTTTCCGTTTGATAAGGCTGGCCCAAAATACAAATTAGTCTTTGTTTCGGTTTGGAATTTGATCGTCCCTTTTCTGCATATAAGGAGAAACTGTGTTGAAAAATAGTGAAAATATTTGGTTAAATTGAGTAATTGGAAACAAGTCCGTAATGAATTTCTTGCTGAAATATCATGTTCAATTAATGATGCAGAAATGGTTGAGTGTATGAAGAAAGTTGCAAAACTGGACCTTGAGCTGACCGTGGAGGAGAGGAATCTTCTTTCTGTGGGATACAAAAATGTCATAGGTGCTCGACGGGCCTCTTGGCGAATCATGTCTTCCATTGAGCAAAAGGAAGAGTCTAAGGGGAATGAGAACAATGTCAAACTGATCAAGGGTTACCGCCAGAAGGTGGAGGAGGAACTCTCCAAGATTTGCAATGACATTCTGTCTATCATAGACAAGCACCTGATCCCCTCTTCTACCTCTGGAGAGGCCACTGTTTTCTACTACAAAATGTGAGTCATGCTGCCCTAATGGTGACCTCCAATCATTGTAACCAAAGCAACTCAACCAGCCCATATTTCATTTTTTTATCTCCTGTTATTTTGCTTTGTTATGTTTATCTATTTGTTTGCACGGAACATATTCCAAAAGGGCAAAATTGCAAATAGATATGCTGATAAGTATTTTTCTGCCTCGCATGCAAGTGGCGCACATGTAATGGGGTCAGGGAATTTTCTTTGTTTCCTCCTTGGCCCTGCCTAACAGATAGGTTAAAGATTACTATATCCTTTGGTTCTGTTTGTGTATCCTCCTCCATGTGTGTACTGACATTCATCATATTGTATTTGAAATTAATAAAATTTTGTCGACTAATATGTAACGGCATGTATGCTTCAGGAAAGGTGACTATTACCGGTACCTTGCTGAGTTCAAGACCGACCAGGACAGAAAAGAGGCAGCTGAGCAGTCACTCAAGGGATATGAGGCATGTTATTAAATTGACACAAATGTGCTTACATATGTTTGATTCTTTACACTCCCTATCGTTTGATGTGCTCTCCTATTGCCGTGTCATATTTCTCAGGCTGCTTCAGCCACTGCAAACACAGATCTCCCATCAACCCACCCGATCCGTCTTGGTCTAGCCCTCAACTTTTCTGTCTTCTACTATGAGATTATGAATTCTCCTGAGAGGTATCACTTTACATCTGTTGTCATCTTTTGATCATTTTCATTTAAATAAACTCCTGAGATGTTGTTGTTGTTACTGGAAACTTGTAGGGCTTGCCATTTGGCTAAACAAGCATTTGATGAGGCAATTGCAGAGTTGGACACCTTGAGTGAGGAGTCATACAAGGACAGCACCCTTATTATGCAATTGTTGAGAGACAACCTCACTCTCTGGACCTCTGATTTGCCTGAAGATGGAGGTATAGCATACACCTGGATACTTGATTAACATGCATTATTATTTTCACGAAAACGCGTATTTACTGCAAGATTAAATCCTTCTTTAGTTCCAAACGATACAAGTTCCTTTCATTTTTGAACTTACTATACAATAGAAAGACTTCGAAAGACTTGTATTTATGTTCAGCTCTTCTTTTTGTGAAACGGGTTGTTCCATGCTGTTGCTGAATGATACAGGTATTAAAAAAAGAAACTGTATGTATGTATGAGCTCATCACAAAGGTGCCTGTATCTTCTCTGTACAGGCATCATCATGGTAGAAGTTTCTGTTCTGAAACATAATTCAGATAGAAGAGACTTACACATAAAATCCTTTTTCTTTTTTTCTTTTGTTTGCTCAGGTGACGACAATTTCAAAGGTGAAGAAACCAAACCAGCAGAACCTGCAACTGCGGCGGTAAGTGCCTTGACATTTTCTTCGGGGGCAAGGCAACTTGTTTTCACTCTCAGATTATATTAATTTAAATGAAATAAATATATTTGCAGACTTGATGGGTACCTGAAAAATAGCACGGCACATGGCAAGTGGAAAAGACTTTTGCAAAAGGCGACCTTTAGCTTTTCTCACTCAGTTTTCGCGAGGGGATTGACTGAAGGACGTACACCCTTTTTTTCTTCTTCTTCTTCAGTTTTCATGATATTGATCCTTCTAGGTTCCAAAGAAGATAGGAATTGATCAATTTTTATATAAAAAATTTGGATTTATGCTTTTGCTACATGTTCGTTTATATAAACTTCTTATGTTAAGCAATGGAATGGACTTCTCGTCTTCTCTTTATTTTTATACAATTCCTCCCCCCTCCGACTTGTTCGTCTTTACAAATTTTGAAAAGAAGCCAAAAGGGGACGAATTGTCGTCTTCTTCTGGCTGCTTTGCTTGCAAATTGCAATCAAACATTTTTATCGGTTGGGAAATAAGTATGAACAAGAACTACTAGTGGTTTTCTTGAAAGTCGGTGATTAGCAAATAATCTGGTAAAACAATCATAATTACAGCTAAATTGCATAAACTTCACAAAAATCTAGCATCTCTTAACACGAAAAAAAACACATATTTTGCACGTTTAATGTGGAATCTATATAATTTTTTCTTTCATTATGTGTTAGCAATCATATGGTAAGGAAAAAAATTGAAAAAATTCTAATACCAATGTGTAAGAAAACACATAAGAAGTTGTAAATTGGAATAATTCTAATACCCGTGTGTTAGTAAATACCAGAGACATCATAAATTAAAATAATTCTAATACCCATTTTAGGTAAATAAACATGTCATAATACAAAACGACAAAGTTATAGATTATCTTCGGAAGCTGTTAGGATTTGAGACGTATCCGCTTCTACCAGATAAAGAAAGCCAATATCCGTTACCATTATCCACTTGCAAGATGCAGAATTTGTGCCCATAGAATATCGTTTCTTTTGTCCATGACCGCTGGGTGACCTATAGATAGATGTTTTTTTTTTAAATTTGGCCCTTTTGGCTAAGAAAGCAAAGAATATCGTTAATCTTTTCATAAATAAACAAAAAGAATATTGTTAATCATGGGCGCACAGAAAAAATTTCCTTTTTTTGACTTTTAGGAAATGCTCATGTCGTGATCCAGAAAAATGGCCGTTGGGACTTAAAGAGATGAACAGACTCCCCTCAAAGAATTGAAAAGACAGAATTGCCACCAAGAGATTCTGTATGGAATAGTAGAAACAGAGGATTTATATCCCACTTTGAGCCAAAATCTGCACTGATATAAGTGAAAAGAGGCAAGCAAAACAAAGGAAACTCATACACAAATAACAGAAACAGGCTTTGAATCTGTTTCATTTTATAATATTATTACGTTCATATCCGTTGAGCTATGAAAACAAAACTGTGAAGAAACATCAAGCTTCCCCTTTGAGGTTTGGCACTCAAATTTTTTTGACAATTTCTAATTAAGCTCATAGCAAAAACCACCATGATACTATATAGTCAAGGAAAAGTACTGGACAACCACCATCCAATAACATAGATTGAACAAATAGGTTCAAACAAAACCTGTGTCTATACAAAAAATAAATCAGCTATGGTTCTTCCTTAACGAAGAAACTTTGAGGCAAGCTAAAATCTTCCTCGTGATTCAGAATATCCGTCTCCTCATCGTCTGGTTTCTGAAATTCAAGAGAGAAAATGGTCAAAATGTACAATATGTCTAAAGAACAACAAGAGATAGAGACATAATTAGTCCCTTGGGACCATTTGAATGTTCCATATGGAATATTTTCAGTAATTGTTTATATCAAGTCTCACATCAAACTTCCTTGTATCATATGTGACCCTCACCCCTTGCACCATCACTCATATCAGATAGTCTAGTACAGCTATTTTCTTTTTTCAAATATTCCATCAAGGCCTACCCTTTCACTTGATGTATGCCTAAAACCTAAATTATGCAGCTTTTTATCCCATTCACCTATAGTGCAGTGCAGAGATGCACAGATTTTCTGTACTTGGATAATTTTCTTCTTGAATATAAAGCTTATAGCTATTTAAAATCTCATATTCTGGACTTGGCATTGTGATTGAGTTTTTTTTTTCTGGTCAAGTCATTGTGATTGAGTCTAAACAGACGATTATCAATGAATGTGGATATTCTGAAGTTTAACAGTTCATCATAACATGAAGAAACTAGAAATATGGAAAACTGACAGAATCAAATAAATTAGGTACCAGCATTTCCAAATTATAGAACCGCTCTAGCAATTGTAGAACCTCGTCAGCAGAGAAGTGTCGATCAAAGCTGTGAAAATAACACAAGATAGAGTAAGGCTACGCGTCAGAAAATGGAGGTTCGCTGGAATAAGTGCGATAAAACCCACAAACAGAAATGTGAAGCAGAACAAACCTTCTCCGAAGGAATTCCATTAAACCATAAAGAACAAAATGACGATGTATGCCTGCGCGTAAACGAGTTGTGAAATGCTTATATATTTTCAACTAACATGGTAATGCAAGATCTAAAAAGGAAACTGAATTGTCTTTGATTGTCTTATTAATTACCCCTCGTGCATGAATTCCTACATATAGCTTAGCCTCCAATGTGAAAGTTTATTGCATTCAGGCAATGATTATTATATCTCCCCTTATATTATTGACTTGAACCATCAGATTTCAAATTCAATTCAGCGAAAATCATAAGTGTAGTCCTGAACTTTTCCTACCATCAGTAAAAATGATAGCTTTCCCTCCAAAAATTAAGTAGCAACGAGAAATATTATCCATCCCAAGATTGAAGAATGTGATTAGGCACATGCTAATTAACCACCTGTTTTTACCAACCAAAATTGATGCTTTACATCTAACCCCCACCAAAACCACTCACATAAATAATCAAAATTGGAAATCCAAAGATAAGAAACTGAATTATTAGGTTTGATTAATTCGAAAAAACCTGCCTTGTAGCTTGACGGGAGGATAAATTTCAAGAGCTTCTAACAGTCTAAGCTCCAATTCAACCTGTGATTGCTCCTATTAAACATTAAAAAAACATACAAAAAATAAAATCAACATAAATCTTCCATTATATGTGTAAAGAGAACCAGAGAGAGAGAGAGAGAGAGAGAGAGAGAGACCTTTGGGAGAGAAGAAGCAGAGGAAGGGGGAGCTTTGCATGGAGAGTGTACGGACATACCGTCTTGTTCCTCTTCTCTTCCTTTACCACCATTTCTCTCCATTGAATTCAATGATATAAAAAATTTCGAACGAGACCCTAGAGCTTGTATAAAATATTTTACTAGGTTAAACTGAATTCGGAAAGTGAAAACGAAAGCAATTATGTTCTGTTGTTTTTTTAAAAAAACTTTTCTTCCCTAGGTTTTCTGGTTTGATCCAACGCCATCTCTGAAATTGAAGTGCCTATGTTGCTGGGCTTCTGGAGCAAGCTAGCAAGCAAAGCCAGCCCATGTTTTGTCCTCGTCTTCAATGGACCGTGGCATTGGACGCGTTGACTTTATTGACTTGTTGAATTGAACTTGGCCCAAAGAGAAGTAAACATGTTTTAAATAATTGAGCTTCTAATGCCAAATTAATTCTTTAATTATAGTTGTGCTAAAATCAGCTGAGCTTTTCAACTGTTTATAGTCTGATTTTTTTTTCTTTCTAATTTTCAGAAAAAGGGCCTAAAACCCATAATTTTGTAAATGAGAACTGCGCTCAAAACACAATCATTCATACATAGAATTGTCTATAAAGAGCATTTTCACTCACCACGATAATGTTCGTTGCCGTTAAATAAATTTAATTATGAGATTTTGTAGTATATTGATTAAATCACACTAATTCAGCGTTGGAGATAATAATGGTCAGCACCAAAGAATCAAGAAAACCACAAGCTAACATTCTCCTCGAAATGATGAAAACAACATCAAAATTTTCCCAACCACCAGGGTGCCAATAATAATGCATGATATGTAGGCCGACAAAGACAAGAGCCAAGTGACCCCACTTTTGTAACGGCTGCTTCAAATGCAATTGCATACGTTGGTTGAACTTCAACATCATGCGCCATCTTCCTTTTTTTTTCTTTTTTTTTCCTTTTTATTTCTTCCTCTTATTACATTATAGGAAAAGGCAAATAATTCATTTCTTCTTTTCCTTAGTAGGCGATATATTCGATGACCTGAGTTTTTAACTACCTAATTAACTAACTTTGATGGTTCATAAATCACAACCTAAAGTTGAGTGATACAACCTTTAAATTTGGTGGATGCTACTACCCTCTTTTTCTAGCAGGAAATATTCCTCATTCTTTCAAATAACAGTTTGACATATATATATATATAAAAGATTTATTAAAAATTCAAAAGAAAAACTTATGAATATATGTCAAATTGTCATTAATAGAAATATAGAAATTCTTACTTACAGAAAAAGGTGAGAAGTACTCTCCAAATTTGACAGCTAAACCCTATTACCTCGATGGATTGTTTTCCCTCCACTTGTAGTTTGATTTATATTACCCAACTTCACGATCTTCACTTTATACTTTTACCAATTTCATTTGATTCTTTTCTAAAATTTAATTAACCAACACTAGATTTTGCAAGTAGGTTAAATCATGGGCAATTGTGGGTTTGTTTTATCCAAGCGCCATTTCTGACATAAGTATTGTTCTAAACAGAACATTAAGAAGTACTTTGACTCCAAATGCTACATGAAAGAACATGCCTTGCGAAACACATGACATCACTCTCTGCTTAAAAATTTGTCTTCTTTATATTTTAATCATGCGCATGGCATAACCATTTATATCAACAAACAAAGAGTATTTTAGTTTAATTAGAGGAGAACCTTAAGCTAGAAGACAAAAAAGCCATGCCAATGTGCCACCAATAACTCTCTCTCTCTCTCTCTCTCAGTTAACAGTCTTCCTCTCTATTATTGTTGGCTTACAACTTTAACAGGCTCTGTGATCTCTCTGAGATTCTCTCACCCAAAAGCTTTCAACGCCATAAACCCCAAAACTCTGATCTCTGGGTAATTGGGTTTGGTTCTCTGCTGCAAAACTATCCATCCACTTTCTTAAAGCAATACATTTTTTGCGTTCTGTGATAAAAGAAAATAGGAAAAAAAGAATTGATTTTTCTCTGTTTCCTCCGCTTCATACATATAATATAAACAAACCCATCTCCTCGTTTTCGACGTTCATATATGCTTTAATATCATTCAACTTACCGGTTTGCTTTGCCTACC